AAAGATTAAATAGGTTTATATGGAAGAAGCTCTTTATACAGAAACCTTAGCTCCGTCTGATTGTTTCTAGATTCAAAAATGTAAGGGAAAAAAAGAAGTTTGAATTCAAAAGTTCGTAAATAACTATAAAGGTATATAGATTAATGATATATTATATTATATAGTAAATGGCTTAATCACTAAAATTGAATGAAAATTAAGTTGTTAGAAGAAACAAAACTTGGTAAAAAAAAGGTTTTTTTCTGCAAGGATGTGAAGTCTTTCTCTTTCCCTCTCATGCTGACTATTTTGCAAAGTAACAGGCAGACAGACATGACTATATTGTAAAGACTTTTGATATTGATAAAGAATATACACTTTATTCATTCCGGGATGTGTTCTCAATACTGAACCCTTTTTTCAGACTCCAATAAGACATAAGCAAAGGCATTTCACTTTACAGTGCAACATTTTGGCTTCAAAAAGTGCTGCCTGCTTTTAGGCTTGCGTAAAAAGGCGACGGCAGCCATTTTGAAAAGATTTCGCATTAATTTGCAGCCAATACATAATTAAGTTATTGTGACTGCAACAAGAAAAATAAATGCTAACGGCATTATCTAAGCTTGAGACAACAGCGGAAGCGGGCGGCGGCAGAGGCAGAGGCCACAGCCTGCGAGGGGGAGCGAAGGCGGCAGAGACAGCGGGCAGAGAGCGGGCAGAGCTAAACCAACCAACCAGTTGCAGGGCCCCGCCGGCTCTGGGCTGCGTCTGGCTGGCATGTCTGGCCAACCACCACGGCGTGGCGATGCGTACACCAAAATCTGACTACGTTCACGGACGCCGGACGCAGTCAGAGCCGGAGCCGGTTGCCCCGCTGCCCCCCTTTGCTCGAATCCCCGTGTCGTGGAATTATATTTCCTATGGGCGGTATTTGAGGCCCGCCTCTGCTGCACACACAACTGCCGGCGGTTGCTCAGACGTTATAATTTGTAATCATGTTGAGTGCAGTGACGACGGCGACGGCCAAAAAACGGGGTTGTCCGGCCAGGCCAGACCCCCGACCCCTGCCCCGCCCCTGAACGGTTGAGTCTGCCTGGCAAGTGGTTGTTGACTGCCTGATGCTTTGCAAGGTCTTAGCTGTTATTACGCTCATGTGTCACTTTTACAGTGCTGCCAGACCATATGCGGATCTCTCTATGTCTGTGTTTGTGTGTATATGTATATGTGTGCGTGTCTGTGTTGCTGCACTGTTCATATTTTATTCAGAATTTGCCTGCTCTTGTGGATTTCCTGCTTTAGCTATCGCACTCGCACTCTCGCCTGCTCTCTCGTTCTCTCTTTCACTATCTCTCTCTCTCTTTCGCTCTCTTTCGCCCTGCTCTCTCTATGCGCCCCTCTGCTGCGTTTTTTATGGCATCTACAGACATTTTGCCAAGTTAATCTCCGGTTTGTTTTTCTGATAATGGGTTTGTCAACGCTACTTTGTGAGGTCCTCTATTTGAGTACGAGTTCATCTGTCTATCTGTGCGTGTGCTTGTTGGTGTGTGTGTGTGAGTGTGCTTGTGTGTGTGTGCTGCTATCTTAATATATGTATGTGTGCATTTGCAGTTGTGTCTGTGCGACCTGGCCGCATGTTGTCTGTGCTCGTATTTGATATTTACTTTGCAATGCCAAAAAGAAAAAATTAAAGGGCAAGTGAGCGAGCAAGTACTCTAGTCGACTAGCAGATACCCTGTACTCAGCTTTGAATTGCAATAGTATGCACACAATAGCCAAAGCTTCATCTTTCCTTCTTTGGGGTTCTTAATAAGCTTGGGCTATGAGCAGGAAATAGGTTGTAATTTTAAGTAACTACATCAATTGAAAACTTCATTTTGTCTGATATTTTCTATAATATTTAAAAGACAGCATCTCTAGAGTGCCCAGCTCATATTTCCGTTGCAGTCGCATACCTTGTCGTCCCGTCGAGCTGCCCGGCTCGCTTATGGCATTTATTAAGTAGTATTCAACTGGTGTATTAAAATGGTGTTGCTTCACTTCAGCCACGCCCACAAATTTAAGCAAGTACACGCCCAAAAATTAATCAAACTTCTGTTGCAATTCGGTTGCTGTCATTTTTTTTTTTGGGTGGCTGTTGCCAGCCAGGCGGCAACTGCCTCCCTGTCCCAGCACCATCACCCAATTATTTGGTGGGCGGCGCTGTACGTGACATTGCCGCGGGCAACTGGGAAACGCCACCGTGAGAGGGCGCCACCACGGAGCTGCTTAAACAGCTACCAACCGGCGAACATGTGTCTTGGCCGCCCGGTTAAGCCTTTTAGCCCAACTATAGCTGATTTTGACAAGCTCAATTAGAGGCGGGCACGTCAGAGCTGGGCGCTTAAATGCACTCAGATTGGAGCTGAGATTGGTTTGGGGCTGGTTGGCGCATTCAACAATAATAACAACAACAACAACAACAAAAACCTTTAAATTAATTGCAGTTTTAAGCAGATTGCAAGCTGTTAAACAGCTCAACCAGGCAAGAGCTGAGCAACATCAACAATACACTTGGCGAAAAACGCGGATCTAAATTCTAAACATAAACATTTATTTTTTAAAATTTAAACTACATTTCTTGCATGTTATTATGAGAAACAACTTAAATTAAATTTATGTGAATATTTACTAAGTCGATTATACAAATTTCAAAGTGTGACTATATAAATCGATCTGGCAGATCGACTGGGTGAGACCTTCGCAATATGCTTCGCGTACGGACTCCTCTAATTCTACGCCTAGCCAGATGATTAGGATGGTTTTCCAGCCGCACTTTGTCCCCGACTTTCGGCACTTCTAGGTCTTTTTCCAAATCGAAAGTTTTCATATACCTGGGTATTGAAGCGAATCTTAAAGTTGCTTTGTTCTGAACCGTCAAGAGAAACCTTCTAGCGTTTTTCGTTGAGCTTTCCTTCTAATTGCTCGGGTTTTTCTTTGAGTGCAACAACAAAACACGCGCTAATAGCTTCAGCTTAAGCAGTTGCCAGTGCCAAACCCCGTTGCCTGTTGCCAACATCCGCCTGGCCAAGGTTGACTTCAATTGCACGCACACGCAGACTGTTGCTGAAGTTGGGAGTGGAGGGTGGAGGGGACGCCTCCACACGAATCCACACGTTGCACTCAAGATGATAATCATGTTTACGTGGCGCAAGTTAAATTGCTAGCGTAATGGACTAACAGCAGGTGAGGAGCCGAAGCAGGTGAGAAGAAGCAGTTGCAGTTGCTGTTGCTGTTGCCCTTTACCAGAGCTCGTTGCAGCTCATGCGTGGCCCGTGCTGTCAGCGGCACATTTGGGCGCCGGTTGCAAGTGGCCAAAGAGGCTGGCAAAAAAGCATTTGTTTGGCCAAACCGATGTGGAGATCCTCTCCGTGTGTTGCTGCTGCCGCTGCTGTTCTTCGCTTCATTGGACAACTGAATATGCAAATTGAATTGAGCGTATTATCGACGAAGGCAACCTGCAGGTAAGCTGCCGCTGCCGCCCACCTGCGCTCGTTCCGGTCATCAACATCAACATAATCGCTCAAGCCAAGGGCTTTGCATGGGTTGGATTGCCAGAGTCAAGATGGCAGCGCGCCAAATGGAGCACAAAATTAAAATTTTAATGGCCAGCAGCTGGCGCTTGCTTGGCTTTCGCCCAAACAATGGCTAAGCAAGAGTCCTGCTTGCAGCGCATACAAAGAGCTGATCAAAAATCATTGCATGCTTTCGGGCTGCACATGAATACGGTTACGCAAAGTTGCGCTGCATACTCTCGGGCGGCATATGTGAAGCTGTACAGTGGGCGCCCGCTAATGGGAACGCAAACAGCTGCAGAGCTGATTACCATTTGTGAATGTTAACTGTTTCTGTATTATTTCTGTACACAGTAAAGATTTTTACAAACAGAAAATATTGTTTAAATTATTTTCGAATGTCTTAAAGCCAGATCTTTGATGTGTTGATAAACAAATTTTATCAAGAATTTGTCAATATAAATTGTAATTGTAATTTTCACTGCTAGCGAAAGGTAATTAATGCTTGTTAATTACAGGTTAATCAGTGTGAAGTTAGAAAATGTAATAGAAGAGAATAGAATTATAGTTTAGATTTAATTCCATTTGGATTATGCATAAATAATCAAGTTAAATTGCAATTAAAGCATACTTCGAGGCGGCAGATATAAAATTAATTCAGTTGGCTAATTATTTTACGCTCTCCCTCTCTTTCCCTATCTCTCTCTCTCTCTCTCATCCCCTCCCTCACTCTTTCCGTCAGGTTTACTTTCGCATTCCGACTCTCTGCTTATTCTCGTTGTCGTTGATTATTGCTCGACGCACGTAAACAAAAAGTGCGACAGAGAAGTGCCTCCCGCACGGAGCCTACACAGAGAGAAATGCGGCAAGCTAATGACAAGATTTGTAGTGGAAATTAAGCAAAAAATGGTTGAATTAAGTGCAATTCGAATTGAGAAATTGATAAGATATTTTTTAATATTTTTTCAATATGGGAATTCTTGATATACGAACAATTAAGTTTTTATATTCATTTGAATACAGATAAAGCTAAACTTAGTTCAAATTGGAACCAATTAGACTTCATGTACGACTTCATTAGTCTCTTTTCAAGGTTTTTAATACTTTACTACTCCATTCTTTAAATAAATAAAATTAATTAAATCCTACTCGAAATAAGATTTTAATATTGATGGTCTTAAATTAAACTTAATTTGTTTAAAAGTCTTCAAAGTGAATGCTAAACTATTTCATTTTTATAATAAGCCTAATTAGCCTGAAAAACAAACCAAAATTAAACTTAAAATAAGTGTTTTCCTACTCGATATAAGATTTTTCCCCAAGAGACAATTATTACCGCTTTTAACGCAATTTAAAAACTAGACAATCTAAATTATTGCACAAAACGCTTGAGTTTTTCTGTCTGTGTACTCATATATGCTACGTATAGCTGCGCCGTATGGTTAGATACCGCTACGCCAGCCGCTGGCCAGTCAACGCCGAGCGCTGAGCCCGAGCGGCCGCGTTTTATACAACAAACAAAACACAACGAAATACCGCTAAAAGCTGCAGCGCGAAAAGCAAAGCGAAATAGGAAAAACATTTTACGGAAAATATTATAAAATTAGCGCTATGTAAAACGGAGACGCGAACAAAATTGGACAACTGTGGGTACAGTGGTGGCCGTTGTCACTGGACCGCTGCAAATCGAACGAACAAAAGGGCAACACATTGGCCATGCCCACAACGCCCACGCCCACGACCGACGGCAGCGCCGTGCTGCGACGTCGACAGCTGCTGCGCAGCGTTGAGAGCTTGCGGCTACGCGTTCGTCAAGTTTTAAATTGTGTTATTAATTTGCACATTGAATTTTTGGTAATTGAAAAAAAAAAAAAATAACCGCATTTGACATTAAACTGTAATTCGTGTCACATGAGCGGGAGAGAGAGGGAGCGAAAGTGGCAGAAGGTGTGAGTGCGAGTGAGAGGTAGCTGCACATAACATTTGTTGTCGAAAGCTCTCGACAATTGATATGACAAACCCGGCAGACAGCTCAACTGTTAATTTGTTTTTATACCCTTACAGCGGATACTATGAATATGTTGTGAAGTTTGTGACGCATGGAAGAAAGACCCTTTAAATGATAGACGTATATATTCTTGATCAGCATTTAAGTTGAGCTGCCCATTTGTCTGTTTCTATGCTAACTAGTCTCTCAGTTGTAAGGCTACAGTCATGAACCCGATTTCTAATATTTTTGATTACCAATCGATAGTAGGAATCTGCACAAATGAAGCTCCCGCATTAAAATACTTGTTTTTTAATTTATTATCAACATCTACTCCTATATAATGTAGTTGACATATCGCTCCGATCAGTCAAAAACTAAGCACTTGCTTCAAAAGAACTTCTTGTTCCCCCCTGATAACCTTATCTAACGCATTCTACTCACACATTTGCATAGGTCAAAGCCATATAAGGGTATTCAGTCTTCGGCTTAGCTCCTTTATGTGCTTTATTTACACTCGACGCAGTTATCAGTCCTTAGGCTTTCACTTCAGCTATCAGCTGTCAGCTAATAGCTGTTATCAGCTTGTGGAAAGTGTCGTAAACGCATGCCCCCTGCCACACCCCGCCAGAGTAAGTGTAACTGTTAACGGTTGCGACACAGATTCCGGACAAGTTAATGCAATTATAGCGGGCTATTGGGGCCGACTTTAGACTAAATGGAACAGCTGGCTGCACCGATTACCAGTCTAGACAATGGGCCATTATTCGGGTTACGAAATATATATATACCAGCTATATAATCTCGACATTATAGTTGATTGTTGGGTAACTAAGCCGAAGCTATGAGAGTTCACATACCTGATGGAATAATAATAAACTTGTTTACAAATTTGTAATCTGCACACACCTGAGTTCAGGTGAGCCCAGCCCCCTCCACTGTGCCTGGACGGGGGTGGGGGTGGGGGTGTTCATGTATACTGACATATAGTTTGACATGAGCTTAGTTTGCGTGGTTCACAGAATTTGCTAATTGGTAGCAAACAAACAAAAGCAAATGGACGACAATGCATGCATTTTGGCCAACTGAAATCTGAGCCGTCAACGGCGAATGCACATGACATGATACCTTTTTTATACCCTGCACTCATTAAAAATTGGTTATAGAGTTGAGCGTGACCGGGAAAACAAAAATCAGTTGATTCGACATAAAAATGCCTAAAGATATAAAGCTTGAGTTTTTTTTTTTTTTGCATATTCCTGAAATAATCGCAAATAAATAAAATTCGAAATTTTTCGAGCAAAATATTGGAACCCGCTTTGGTCTTTGAAATACATATACTTTAAGACCTGAAAATGTCAAAGCAATCGAACTAATAGATCAAAAGTTATGGAAGAGTTAATTTTTCCTTGTATGAAAATGAGTATAAAATGAGATCGTACTCACCCTCAACTTAAATAAATTAAGGATATTAAATAAATTCAGGATATTTCGAGAAATATATGGGGTCCAGCCTTGCACTTTAGGATACACACATATTTGAATGCCAGCTTTATGCCCTGAAAATTTCAAAACAATCGAACCAATAGAAAAAGAGTTCGTCAAGTGAAAATCTGGATGAAATGAGAAGAAACAGAGATCGATAAATCCATGTGTATGCGTGAGTGTGTAAGAAAACTCGGTGCCAAGTAGAGAGATTACCTTGCAGTCACCCTCGACTGGACTCCGACTTGTTCTAGGTCCGAGTCCCCCCATCGGGGCTGTCAGAGAGCGTAACGCCCCGGTCATTTGACACCGACAGCAAATCGAGCAAACTAAGCGATTTTAGGCTAATCTAATTTTCATTCTCGCACCTCTCGCGGGCCTTGCAGGTGCTCGAGTCGAATGTGGCCGCACTGCTGGACGAGGTGAGGTCGATAAACGACGACTACGCGGAGGTGCATCGCCTGGATAGCCTGATCGAGGCGCTGCGCAACTATAACGGGCCCACCATCTGCCACGAGTGGCCATATCCTCTCATATTCAAGGGCACAATCGACGAGGCGCACGTCGCACAAATTCTCAACACAACCGAAACTGTGCCGGAATCACCCTGTGCCAAGGATGAGCTGCTGCTTCTGCAGTCGGGCATAAGTGCAAGCAAGATGACAAGACGTTCAAAGCTCTGGTGGTTCACCAGAACTAGATCCACGAAAGGAACATGCGTTAGTTGATCTACAGGTGTATGCGTGTGTGTGCGTGTGTGAGTGTGTGTGTTTTTATATATTTATCTGATATTGAAATTCTAATTTTATGCTTTGTCAAGGAATACCAAATATATTTATATTAAATATTGATAGGCAATAAGTGTCGAGAGCTGCGTGTTGGCGGTTTCTGTTGCCGTTTAATTGACTGCGGTCAATCGGCAGCTTTGCCACGCCCCCCTTTCAACCGCAGGCGTCGCTTTCAAGATTTTTGCGGCGTTGCTTTTGACATGCGACTGTGGCTAAGATTGAGACGCAGACTATTTACATAGCCCCCCCCCCCCCCCTCCTCCTCTTCCGCCTCATAGCCGGCAGCCGCAACAGGTTACCGCATCTAATTAAACTGACCTCACGCCCAGATTCTTTGAGCAAGGCGCAGCAGCAGCAGCAGCAAAGGGAGAAAGTGAATATAAAGAGACCACAGCTGCTCTACCCTTGCAAGAGGGTATTATGATTTGGTCATGAAATATGTAACGCTTTGTCATTTGCCATTTTTTATTTATGTACGTTCTTGATAAATAGTAGATTTTATACAAGTGTTGAAGTAAATGTATAAATCATATATTATAAATATCATATAACTCTAAAGGAATAATCGGTAAAAAAAAAGTTTTTGCATAAAAAATCCTTTTTTGTTGTTCGCCAAAATTGGTTAAATATGTATATATATAATATGCCTAGCTATACCTATACCAAGTTTCTGCATAAGGCATCGCTCAAAAATTTATTACTTGTGAACTTTGGATTTTTTCTTAAAGAATTTCCTTTCAAAATTGGTAATTGCGAGCTTCACTATTTTCCCATCAAATCTGCAAAGCTGTAACATATTATTTTACTATATAAAACGCAATCTGTCGTAATAAAACATTTTTATAAAAAACTCATTTATTTTTGCAAGGGTATTTAAGCTTCGACGTGCCGTCGTTTTTTATTGCTAACATTTTTCTTCTTATTGTATCAGGGTATTCCGGAATCTATTGGGAAATGGGAAAGAAGGGTATAATGCACGACTGTGAACGTTTGTGACATGCAGAGGGAGGCATTTCCATCCTCAGGACTAAAACAATGCTGTGTGCAGGGTATCTGCTGGCCGGCTACTCACTACTGGAGTACTCTTACTTTTTCTGGCTACTGTTGCTGGCGCGTTATTAATTATAAATAAACCCAGAGAAGTAAAACAATAATAAAGCGCGTCTGCGTTGTTGTGCGTAAGAGTGTGTGTGTGTGTGTGTGTGTGTATGACCGTGTGTAAATGCTTTTGTTTGGTGTAAATTATTCATAACGGTATTATCAGCTTTTCTGCACGCTGCCAGGCTGATTAAATTGCTCTTCCAGCGCTGGGGCCAATGAAGAGCGCCAAAAGCTAATGATGACACACAGCCCCCACACACACACACACACACGCAGACACATGCAGCACACACACACACACGCAGGCACAAGCAGACACACACACGCACGCATTCTTTTACTGTCTGCATTTGTTCGCAATGTTTTTACTCTCTGCTGTTCCCGCAATTTATCAACTCGGTTCTTCTCAACAATTGTATGTGTGTGTGTGTGTGTGTGTGTTGGTCAGGGACAATTGTAGCAGCGCGCTATAATTATTAAAAAAAAAAAAACAATTGAGATAATGAGCGCGCAAAGACAAGAGCGAAAGTGAAAATATCGCCAAGGTTGACAGACGCTGACAAATGTGCACCGCAGGGAGGGGAGCGGGAACGGGGCTTAGGGAGCAGCAGGAGCAGCGGGCCAAAGGTTGAGCCGAGCTGCTGCTGCTGCTGGCTTTTTATCTAGAACAGACAATAACACGGCAGAGCACGGCAGAGCAACAACAATTAAGCCAACAACGTGGGGCTTTTAACCATGCAAAAGTCTGTAAAATTAATGGCCCAAAAGGATGTCAACAACAGAAGCAAATAGCGCGAAACAGCTACGGTTAACCCCGCGGGCGGGTAAGCGGGGCTGCTCGCTGTGGGTGGAGTGCGGGCAGCATAAGCCAAAGGCGCGGCCGATCAATGGGACTGGCATTAAATACACGACAAATGCAACGGCCAACAATTGAAAACTTTACGCAACTTTTCAACTTTAAACTCGAAAGCGTTGCAGAACACCTGAGCTAACGGCAAAGTCGAAGCAAGAGCGCAACTGGTGGGTATTTGCTTGCAGGAGGGAATTTCCTTGAAGAAGGGAGGTTTCTTTTCTCTGCGGCCGATAATATTAAATAATCTGGCCATATTATTGTAACTGATTCCTGTTTGTGCAGTCATTTATGTGGCTTCAATTGATTGTGGATTTAATCTTATAACACAAGTATGTTTACTTTTCATTGCGCTTCCCCTGCCCCTCTCACTCTATCTCGCTCACTCTCTCTTACATAATTTTAAACTCAACGAAAAGGTGTTTGCCTTCAACGAATGGAGGAAAAAACATCATATCACTGAATTTTAACTATTTCATTTAAATATTATATTATAAGTAGATACTCGGAGATTAGGTTATTTAGGACCAATTTAATATCAATTGGCAACAAAATAAATTAAATTTTAATTTGTGAGAAAATATAAAGTTCACAATGGCTTCAGTTCACAATCAATTGAGGTTTTGTCTTGCACAAATTTCAGAATCTGCTCAACTTATTTCTTACATTCCACTCACAGGTTAAGGCCATAAAATCCTTGTGGCACTTGTTGCAGGTGTCGGAAAGTTCGTTGAACGCAGTCAACAATAACAACAATTAGCGTGCTCTCGGCCTTAAACCTGGCTAACAGCACAACACCCCCCACTACCCCCCTAGGCTGTTGGCTTGCCTGCCGACTTGCCTTGGTTGCCAATCAACAGTCGAGTTATTGAACCCTTTTGTGCAACTGCAATTAACAGCCCAGACATTGCGGCAGCTCCTGTTGCTCGTTTTGGCTAGTTTTGCTTCTTCTTCTTCTATTGGTTTTGCCATTTTTCTGGCCATAAAATGCCAATGCACGCACATTCACAGCAGATTTTTTTGGTTTCTGCCAATTTTTAACGACAACAATTAAATTCGAATTGTTGTCTGTGTCTTTTGATTTGGCAGCAGCATGAAGTGCACCCCCCTCCCTCGCTCCTGTCCTTCGCTCACTCTCTCTCTCTCTCTGTCTCTCTCTCTCTTGCTCTCTCGCTCTGTCTGACTCAAGCTTGAGACTTGACTACACTGTCGTGCGTGCTAACTTTTTGGTGTCTAAACTTGACGAATGGACATGCCTCGCCTGCGTTCTCACTCGCACTTGCTGCGTTTGTCGTTTAACTTTTGCATATGAAGAAGAAGCAGCAGCCAGAGCCGCCAGACAGCCGACTGGCACGTGAATCCATTATGTTGGCAGCCAATTATGTGCGTGTCTTTCACTCAAAGCGCCCCTCCCTCCCCCTCTCTCACAGTCGTGGGGAGTTGGTATACGCAATTCAAACTGTTTCCTTCCGCAACAGTCATAACAACAACAAAAACAATGGGAATAACCACAAAATATGTTTTTAATGCAAACGACTTTGGTTTAAGTTTGCACGGCCAAGGTGAACGCTGTGAACGCTTAACATTTTGGCCACAGGAAATGGGAAATGCAAATCTAGCTAAAGTTCAACATTTAAGTACCTTTTCTTATAAGTTTTAAGTGGATTTTATTCCACGCTTGAAGAGCGTAGTAGAAGTATATTCATATATAGTTTTGATCAGTGCCAACAGTCGAGTCAATATTCACATGCAGGCCTGTGTGTAAGCTAATTTATTAGACTTGGAGATCGTAGTTCTTGAGATTCTTTTTGTTGTATCTATAAAAAAAACCCTTAACTTAGCCGCATCGGATCTCTATATCATATCTATATCTATCTTTCGAAATCGGAATGCTTATAAGACAAAGTATATTATTTTTGCCATTATCTTAACTTAATATACTTATAAATATATTAAATTAATATACTTAAATAATCCTAAAGAAATTACCCGGCGCGGCTATTATAATAAACAAGAAATAACCCGGCACTGCTCGGCTTAAATTAAGCTTGCTCAAGGTTGGATCTCTAAACTTCGCTTTTTTAATGTCTGACCTTCGAAATACTTTTGAATACTCCAGAAATTACCCGCGCTCCTCTCCTAAAATGATATTTTCATAAAATTCGATCCCTCAACTTCGCTTTTTTAATATATATAGTAAATATGGTATTTTTTCAGGGTATTTAGACTTCGATACTTGACAGACAACAGTTTTTTCTTGTTTTAACGAGTTTCTAGCTAGCTTAATATGTAATTTAAAGCCCAAACAAATCGTTTAAGTTGCGAAGGACAATATAATACCAAAGAGAAACCGATTCCCCCTTCATGTATAATATATATATAATGCCGATAGGCCCCATAAAATAGTTTGTAGCGCCCAATGAAAATGCAAGCAGCTGAAAAGAATGTTTTGGCATGTTTAGAAGTCAGCTAAGAGTCGAACTGACTGTAGGACTGTCTGTCTGTCTGACTGCCAGTCTGTCTGCCTGTCTGTTAGTCAGTCGCCCCAAAAGCGCTTTAAATAAACAAACTAATAGCTGAAATCACGAAGCAATAGAGCCAAAGCCTAATATCCGAGCGGGACGGCGATAAGGATGTGCGAGCGAGAGGCAGCTATCTATGGGCACGGGCCCTGTCTTGGGCCAGGTCTATGGCAACCGCGCCAACCATTTGCCATATGTATAACCCGAATAAACAAACTAATAAAACATGCCCCGATGCCCGACGACAAATACCTCAAAAGACTGAAACAGAAGGACAAGAGCAGACCAGGTGCTCCACAGAGCAGCAGCAGGAGCAACAGAGGAGCCAATCGAATTGTCATTGAAATCGAAACCGAAAAATTAGATAACTGCCAAGCAGCAGAGAAAAAACACTTTCAGTTCCGGGTAAGTGACAGAATCTGGCTTTCATTTCCATTTAAAAACGAGATGCACTTACTCCGTCAGGATAGAGGTCATCGATTCCTGTCATGTCCGTGGCTGTGGTGCCGCATCGATTATGAAACTCGAAGGTGGAAGCCCAACACACGCAGGCAACGGGCCAGGCCACGGCTACGGCGGCAACAATTGCCCGGCGTCGCACGCTCATCTCCATGGCAAAATGTCCCGGCCGTTCCATGCTAAACGATGAGCCGCCCGAGCCGCAGCAACCGCAATCGCAAGTGCAACCACAACCGCAACAAAACTATTTACCTCAAACATCTTTGCTGAAAATCGAACCGTTTGTTCCTAGTTTTAATCAACGTCTGCGCCGGCGTCCCATTGGCCGCTCCCACAGCACCCTCAGCCACCATGTTATACAGAAGCGCATCCCAGTCGCCGTTCAGCCTCCGACGGAGCTGCTCGTTGGACAGCAGCAGCAGCAGCAGCAGCCGCAGCAACTCCGGCGCAGCTACGCTCCGGCGCAGCATCGGCTGCAGCGCGGCACCGTCACGCGGCAGCGCTCCAAGTCCACCTCCTCATCGGCGGCCTCCACCAGCTGTCGGCCGGCAACATCTGCCGCCGCCTCCTCTGGAACAACTGTTGGTGCTGTTGTCGCCGCTGCAACGCCACACACGCTGGTGGGCAGCACGGGCGGCACTTTGGTCAGCGGCGCAATTGTCACGCCCCAACCGAACGGGATTTGTCGCATACAGCGTCTGGCCAAGGAGCGGGAGGAGCTGCCCGACCGCATCAACTACGATCGCCGAGGTCTAACTGCCATACCCATATTCGAGCAGGAGCCCAACCTGCGGCTGCTTTCGCTGCAGCACAATCTGATCAACACCTTTCACATTCCCAAGGAGCTGCCAGTGGTACAGCCTGCTCCACAGCCACAGCCTACGCCGCGCGACCAGAGCCAGCAGAGCAACCAGAGTAAGTTTAAATGGCACACTAAAATGACAGTGGTTCATGCAGCTAGTTTATTAATCTTTCAGTTACTCAGTCAACCAATCAATCAGTCAATCGCTCGGGTATCAATCAATTCGCTCCATCGAACAATCAATCATTTAGTCAGTCAGTCCGTCAGTCAGCAAAAAAAACCCTCATTCGACCAGTCCGTCAATTCCGTCAGTCAGGCAATCAATCGGTCAATCACTCAGACAGTTAGTCAGCCTGCCAGTCAATCAGTTAGTAAATGAGTCATTCAGTGACACAGTCAATCGATGAGTCCGTCAATTAGTCAATCAATTTCGTCAGTCATTTAGTCAATCACTCTAACACTTAATCAATCAATCAGTTAGTCAATCAATCAAGCAGTCAGACAATCAGTCAATCAATCAAGCAGTCAGACAATCAGCCAATCAATTGTCATGCGGTGAAGCAATCAATCAGTTAGTTAATCAATTTGATAGTCAGTCAATCAATCATATAGTCAATCATGCAGTCAATCGATAAAGCAATTAAGCAGTTATTCAGTCAGTCAACTTATAGTCACTTATATTTAGAGTTCTTATAAGTTTTATAAGTAAGATAAGATTTAGTACAAGAATTTTATCCAAGTGTAGCCAATAAAGTCAACTCAACTAAATCCCGTTTATCTTCAGGTGTATGCAGTAAAGGCGCGCCGGAGCCGCGTTCCGGACTACGTGGACATGCGACATATTCGCGTCTGACGCGCACCATGAGCCATGTGAGCAATGGGCGTTTGTCGTCGCCCAACTCGGGCAGTCCCTGCTCGGGCAGCCCGCTGACGGCCCAGGCGGTGGCCATCAATGGCGGCGCCGCATATCGCTCCAAGCTAACGAAACGGGGCTTCAACTATGCCCAGGCACAGCTGACGCCGCCGCCGGCACTGCGGCTGCGCCACGGCCTGGAGAAGTCGAAGAGCTTTGTGTCCAACAGCCTGCAGCAGCAGCTGATGCAGCGCCGCCAGCTGCTCCGCCGAGCGCAGGGCGGTGGCCTGCCCCTGGCGGGCGCAGCGAGGACTTCAGAGCTGCAGCTGCAACAGAGCTGCGATGAGAGCAGCGTTCAGTCGCTCGGCGGGCCAGGAGGAGGAGCTGGCGAGGAGGAGGAGCCGCACAGTCTGGCCTCTAGCTCCTCGCAGCTGGAGCAGCTGAGCATTAAGAACAAACAGCTGAGCCTGAGCGCCTGCTACGGCAACATCTTCCATCAGCTGGTCTTCCTGGATCTCTACGACAATCAGATCGAGCGCATCGCCAATCTGGATGGATTACCCTCGCTCTCGGTTCTGCTGCTGGGCAAGAATCGCATTACGGACATTGGTGGCCTGGCCGCGCTGAAGGCGACGCTGCGCGTGCTGGATTTGCACGGCAATAAGCTGACCAGCCTGGGCAGCCGGATCAGCTGTCTGCATCAGCTGAAATCCCTCAATCTGGCCGGCAATCAGATCCGGCAGATCAATCAGCAGGATTTCCACGGGCTACGCTGCCTGCGCGAGCTAAACCTAAAGCGCAACAAGCTGCGGCGCATCAATGGCTTCCAGCATCTGCTAGCGCTGGAGCGGCTCTGGCTGTGCCACAACGAGCTGCATCGCGTCGACGATATGGCCAGCATAGCGCGTGCCGTCCGCCTGCTGGAGGTGACCATCGAGAATAATCCCGTCTCGTTGGCCGGGGATTGTGTATCGTTTCTGGTCTCGCATTTGCCGCTGCTGCAGTCGCTCAGCCAGATGCCTATCACGGAGCAGGTGCGTCGTGCCGCCCTGGCCTGGCGCCAGCACAAGGAGCAGGCGCTAGCGACGCACGGCAGCCGGCGCGAGGAGGTCATCTCGAATGCGCGCACCAACTGGGAGCTGTTACGCTCGCAGCAAACGCTGGGCAGGCCCAAGGGCAAGCTGACGAGCGAGCTGGCCAAGATCAATGAGTCCAACGAGGCGGCCGTCGCCGAGGAGCCGGAGCAGCCCCGCGACGAGCTCGCCGAGCTGCAGGCGCTATTCAAGCTCCCGCTCATTGCGCAGCAGAAGCCCAAGCTGGAGGGGGAGGACGCCTCGTCGACGGCCTCCAGTCTGGGACCCAATGTGGACTCCTGCTCTAGCTGCTATAGCACGGACAACGAGGAGGCCAGCCGGCAGCTAAAGTTATCCCAGCCACAGATCGACGAGAATTGCAACAAGCTGAGTACAGCTCCTCCAGCTCCTCCCCCTCCTCCTCCTGCTCCTCTTCCATCCACTTCTTCCACGCCGCCCGCTCTGACCTTGACGCCGCCCGCTACCGGGACGCCTGTGCCCGCTGCCACGCCCACGCCAACACCACCGCCCTCCACTGTGACGCTGCCCTTGCCCGCACCTGCTGCCACGCCCACCAACAGCACCTGTCCCGGCAGCGGCAACAGCAAGCAACGCCTGCGCCAAACGACGCCCATCGCTCAGCTGGGCCTGCAGATGAACCGGGGCAATACGCCCGGCTGCAAGCGCTACATGACCGGCAGCCTAGTGCGCTCCCAGACGATCAGCAGCAGCAGCGCCAGCAACAGCAGCAGCTCCAACAGCGCGGGACGCGCCAAGCAGAGCCACAACAATGTGGCCAACGTCGTCTCCCTGATGCCGCCGCAGAGCAAGGCGGCGGCGCCAGGAGCTGCTCCGCCTGCATCACCAGCCACGTCCACACCCATGACCGTGTCCAAGCCGAGCGCCGCGGAGCGTGAACGAGAGCAGGGCGGCGATTATCTGATAGAGATCTGCGGCAGATACCTGAATATCTATGGGCAGGGCGCGCTCCGTTTTATCGACAAGCAATGGAATCCAGCGAAGGCGAACGATGTGCACACCCTGAACTTTAGCTACATCAATTTCAACAGCATTGTCTGCATGCTAGGCAGGATTAAGATACGTTTCCCGCATGCCGAGCATTTCGTGTTCCGAGAGACGAACATCATGAGCTTGGGCCAGCTGAATGCGCTGGCCGAGCTGCAAGGTCTCAGCTCGCTGCTGATCGATGCCGAGGGCAATGCCATCACGGGCAAGCCGGACTGGCGTGCCTATGCCATCTACAGGCTGTCCCATTGGGGTCTCAAGCAGCTCAATGGCCAGGACGTGAGCGAGGAGGAGACGGAGCAGGCGAATGCCATGTACACGGGTCTCTCCAATCTGGTACTGTGGTCCATGCCCGAGGGCATGCTGCAGCCGCTGTTGGCGCGGTTGCGACTGGACGAGAGCTGCACGGCCAGCAAGCTGTCGCCCAAGGAGTGGCTGCTACGGCCCGAAAACAAATCTCTGCGCCTGGTCGTCGGCAAGGAGGCATTGCAGTGGAAAAAGACGACAACCACGACAACTGGTGTGGAGGGTGGTCACACTGCGATGGCGCCCAGTGCCCGGGATCGAGGCAGGCAGCACTTCGCGCTGCTGCTGGAGAATACTTGCAACGCTGTCGAGAAGCTGCACAAGCTGGAGACGCTCTGGCCAAGCATGCTGCTGGATATTGTGCGCAATACGCTGCTCGATTATGCCCAGCTGGATGTCTATCTGCGCAATCTGATGGCCGAGCTGATGAAGTGACACGGAGCAGGCCAACTGCCAGGCAAGGGCCAATTTAGAACTGTGATTAAAGATCTAGAGTCTTGCAGACGTTAAATCAGACTCGGATACTTAAGCGAACCGACGTTTGATCTGCTATACAACACATTCGACTTAAACGTGTTCGACTGCAACACACACGCCTAGTTCGAACCCAAACGAAATGTTCGTACCGCACCGAATATTTGTTGGAGTATTCAAAAACGCTTCGGTTGACTCGATGAAGGACTCGACTGGAACATGTTCGAGCTAAACACAAAAATGATTAGTTCGAACTCAACCGAAATGTTCGAGCTTGAAGCTCGATTAACGCACCGAACATTTGTTTGAGTATGCGTAAGGCAGGACTCTACTTCAGGCTTAATCCCACTAGAAGGAATTCCCAGTTGGAGCAGTGTTTGCTCGCGTCAGGTTTGTAGATGTTTTGTTTTAGACTTAAACGCTTTTAGTGGAGAATTGGCATCCAAAAAACAAGTTAACCTTATTCCCATGATCCTAGGCATTTACCCCCAAAATAACCCCAATGTAACCAATTCTTGTAAGGCAGCAAGCCTGCACATATATAGTCCAATTTTTATATAAATTTAACAATAAACTTAAATAATAAATTACAATAATAACGAAAAATAATACACTTTGGATTACCAAAGATATGAATACTCTTGCAGAATTACTATTGTTTAGTATTTCTCTATTACTCTAAGATCTACCGAATGTCACTATAGGATTCTTTTTGATAATAGATTTATATAAGATTTGGAGAAAAGAACAAGAAGGAAAGCCAATCTTCGCCATTCGCAGATGAAATACCCTTTGTTGACATGCGGGTTTGGGATCGACTTCTTATAAAGAGAAAGAATCACAAAAATAACTAATTCATTCTTTAACCGATTCTTCCTTTATGATATAGATATTCGAAATGGAACAGATTTTATAAACCGCACAGGGATACTTAAAAAAGCCGAATTTTGTCAAGATATCTTAAAAATTAATAGGCTCTTAAATTTATAACCGATCGTTCCCATAGCAGCTATATGATAATGGTCTTAACCGGCCAACTGAACTGCTCTCGCAGTAAAAAGTTGGACCCCAGCAAGAAACAGACAGACGAGGACTATTCGACTCGACTGTTACAAATAGATCAAAAATAATAGAATAAAATATTTTATACAAGGTTCAGGTTCAAGGTTATTGTTTAATATGATGCTACTCTCTTTAGAGATTCCCATATCAGATATACTTATAACCATTTGTTCCTATATGTTTTAATGATCTGATGCTTCGGGTTGCTGATTTTACTTCGTATAATTTTAAAAGGAACGAGCCAGAGGGACGTATGCAAAGATTCATGTCGATAGCTTCGAAGCTGAGAGACTAGTCCGCATAAAAACAGAAAGGTTTATAAAAAGATATTTTGTACAATCTGTGTTCTGTGTTCTTTTGCCGAAGATTGCCTTGGCAGCAATATTTTATAATAATTCGATTAGGTCAGTATACCCATATATAGCTGCTGGCAATAAAAATATAAATGAATTAAAATTAAGCGTAGTTTACATAGAAGCAGACGGACATACATAACTATTAGCTTTTATCGGGAATTAGACGGGAATTAGATTATATATAAATATCAACTCTATCAGGAATTTATAAACTTTATAAAAAAGTAAAGCAGTTGACTTCACAATGCATAAACAATTTACAATACTCTGCAAGAGCATAACTAGAGTCGTCTCGGCTTACACAAAGGTTTATCTCAAGCTAGCCCTAAAATTCAACTCAGCTCTGAAATAACTTCTTTAAGCAAATGCAAATTCTATGCAATTTAAACTATTCTAGCCTACCCCTAACATTTGGTTGTCTCTTGGCTATTCGGCGTGCAGCTTGCCCGCATCGCTGCTGCTGCTCACTGGCTTCTGGGTCTTTTCCAGCTTGTCCACGTAGATATTGAGTATGGCCTCGATGCCCGGGTAGAGCACAAAGTTGGTCGTACGTATTTTCTTGTCAATCAGATACGAGGTGACCGAGTGCGTGTTGAAGGCAATGTCCATGGCGTCGCTGTGGCTGACCTGGTCCAGCTGATTCCGCGCGACCTTAATGACGCAGTTCTCGTATCCGTTGACTTTGATGCTCAGATCAAGCTGGTAGGCGGCGTCCACGTCTGGCCAGCGCTGTGCCAGCACATCCTGCGTCCACTGCAGCTCCGCGCTGCCGGCATTCAGACGACCAGGCACCGCCACAAACTTGGACCACAGCTCGGAGGCAAAGTGCGGTGCCATCGGCGCCAGCATGATGAGCTGCGCGGCCAAGGCGCGCTCAAACTGTTTGCCCTGCCGCTGAATGTGTTTAGGCGTGCGCTGGGAATTTAAGAAGAAGATTGTTAGGGTAAATAGAGGAGACAGCTGCTGGACTCACCCGCAACGAATTTGTGAGACCCTGCATCTTAGAGATGGCCACGCTCAGCTGATGCGCGTGGCGATAGTTGAAGGTGGCGCCTTTCACATAAAAGTTGCGTGCATCAAAAAGCTTGGCGTCCTCGGCCAGAAAGGCCTCGCTGCCCGTGTCCACCAGGTCCGTTGAGGGCGCCTCGCGTGCCGCTCGAAACTCCTCCACGGTGAGCCACAGGCGTTTCTGCCAGTTAAGTATGCCCGGAAAGGCTGAGAGGAAAAACCCAGAAAAGATAAGCCATGTCTATCTATATGAAAATGTAACTCACTGGCGCTGGACCAATTGCGATGAGAGGTGGGCGCCACATCGGCCAGGATGATCAGGCGTGTCGTGTCCGTGCCGTACTCGTTGAACATGTCGTCCGGTTCGACGCCATTCAGCTTCGACTTGGACATCTTTTCCCAGCTCATGACCACCGGCTCTTGGGTTGCCTTGAGCAGCGCTTGATTCTTTTTGGCATTAACAATCTCCACTTCCGGCTCGCGCACATAGCGTCCACTGCCCTTCACCCGAAAGGACCGACCCATGACCATGCCTTGGACGAGCAGGCGCGAGAAGGGCTCCGTTGTGGGTGACAGGCCGCAGCTGTGTAGAAAGTGATTCATAAAGCGGGCGTAGTAGAGATGCAGCACGGCGTGCTCCTTGCCGCCAATGTACAGATCTACGGGCATAAAGTTCTGAACCAATGCAGCATCAAAGATTGCATTCGCATTGTGCGCGTCCAGATAGCGCAGATAGTACCAGGAGCTGTCCACGAACGTGTCCATGGTGTCCGTTTCCCGTTGCGCCTGCGGCTCTCCGCATTTTGGGCATTCGCAGCGCAGCGCATCCTTGTCAGCATCGCGCGGCGGCAACGTTACCGGCAGCTGTTGCTCCGGCACGGGCACTGCACCGCATTTGGGACAGTGCACAATGGGTATGGGCGTGCCCCAGTAGCGCTGGCGCGAAATGAGCCAATCTTGCAGCTTAGAGGAGACGCGATAGCCGCCCACATTGAGTCGACTGGCCGCCTGCAGCACCTCTTTGCGCAGCTGCTCCCAGTTGCCGGGATTGATGTGGGCTTCATCCTTACCAGAAATGCCGACAGCCCGCCCGAGCCTGTCCCACAATTCGCGATCCTCGGCACGGAAACTGGGCGCTGCCAGGTAAACATCACAGTGTGCGGGAAATTCGGACTCATCGTGAAACAAAACCGGAAGTATGGTCTGTGCAAAGGGATTCTCCACGCTGAGCTGATCCGCATCGGGTAATTGCGCTAGAAAGTGTTTGCTGCGGAGCACAAGGAATGCATGCGGATCCTTCAGATGCTCGGGATTGGCAGTCCAGACGCGCAGCAGATTCGAAGCAGAGGTAGGCAGCGTAAAAGCGTAACCATTGCACTCGCCGATCCAATGCCGCTGCAGATTTATAATATCTCGCCAGTCACGCAGCCGCGGATCGTCCAGGCCGTCCAGCAGCTGTTTGGCAAAGGCAGTCGTGCGTATAAACCATTGTTTGAGCAGTTTTTTTTCAACTTTGGCTCCGGAACGCCAAGAGCAGCCATTGGCGTCCACCTGCTCATCGGCCAACACGGTTTTATCCACAGGATCCCAGTTGACCAGCGCCTCATTCTGGTAGGCTAGCCCGTGCTTGTGCAGCATCAGAAACAAGCTCTGCGTCCACCTGTAATACTGCGGACTGCTCGTGGACAGCTCGTGCGCCCAGTCAAAGGAGCAGCCCAAGCGTTCCAATTGTTGCTTCATCTGGGCAATATTCTGTTGTGTCCAATCGGCGGGCGCAACGCCTCGCTGGTTGGCCGCATTCTCCGCGGGCAGGCCAAACGAATCCCAGCCAATGGGCTGGAATACATTCTTGCCACACATGCGCTGGAAACGTGCGACCGCATCGCTGATCGTGTAGACGCGCACGTGCCCCATGTGCAGATTGCCCGAGGGATACGGGAACATGGAGAGCACATAGTATTTGTTTGCGGCCTGCTTGGTGTCAAAGTGCGCGTTATTCGTATGTTCTTTCCAGTGCGTTTCGATGCGATGTTTCACCTCGTTCGTCAGCTCTAATTGCTAAAAAAAAAATCTAATTATTTAGTGCAAAGTTTGTTTTACCGGCTTACCCCGCTGCCCGTGCAGCTTTGTGTCAACAGTCGCCGACACCAGTTGATTTGAAATCCAGGCAAAATGCGATTGTGCCTCAGAGCTTGCATATTTTTGTGTTTTAATTGATAAGAGTTCGCATAAACATCAACTTGTTCAGTTTAGCAAGTATTAAATAACAAATTAAAATGCAATGTTCAGAGGCTGCAGCTGTTCAATGACGCAGCGTTGCCAGTTATCTTCAGCAAAGTGGTTCTCCATGCAAACATTTTGGCGGGAAGCACTTTTGACTGAGTGGCAGCGCTAAAAACAGAGTTGTATTTTAGCAAAGCTTTTCGCGCTTTTTTTCACCGATCTGGTAACCATGACGTTGCACTTTCGCCATTAACTGCAGACGTCATTTTTTCACAGGGCGTGCTAATTTTCAAGTGGTGTGAAAAAGTTAATATTTAATACATTAAATTATTCAATAAAGTGCAAAAATAGTTGAAAACGATGGGCGATTCGCTGGATAACACCGACACATCGGTGGATCCGGCCGTAAACCTGTCGATTGCCAACTATGATGCATTTGCAAATTACTTGCGCAAAGCTGTCACCATTTTATTGCCGGAGGAGGATGTTGTGCCGGACTCATTAAATAATGCATTGGACGATCCAGTTAATCAGGAGACTATTCGCAAGTTTCTGTCTGATCCCCAAGTGCAGGCGCTGTATGTTCAGCGAAATTGCATTAAAGGTAAGAAAAAATTTTTTTTTTCATTCAAACAAAATGGCGACGCCGGCCCGCAAAGGCATGGCAAGTTTCATAGAAAATAATGTAAAATGAGTGTTGCCCTAACAATGCACATAGTATTAGTCTAAAATTACATTTTCTTAAAGTGCAAGTTGCCTGCGCAACAATATTGTTAAAAATCAATTGGCAATTGTCTTTTTTCATATTTTCGGTGATTGCTTGTGCGCATGACATCATGCCACCTGAATCAGAAGTAGCTTTCATGGTAATGAAAAAACAGGTTGTTGCGTTTAGAAATGTGGGTGACGTCACTACTTACT